TTATTTGGCTATTAATTATATATTTATACTGAAATAAGAAAAAAATAACAGAATTCATACTGCTTCATAGTATTAACAAACTGGATTTTGCTATACAAAATAGATTGTTCTTGTTTACTTTTGTTTTGGGGATACACCCAGCAGTGCTGATGGCTTACTTCTAACTGTGTTCAGAGATCACTCCTGGTTGTTGCTTGGGGTCATATGTGGTGCCAAGGACAAAACCGGGGATGTCCAGGTGCAAGGAAGCACTCTACTCTTAAAATATCTCTCTGATCCCTTATGCAAAATCTACTTAGAAGTGATTTGATAACCTATGGTCTGGGTCACGGATGAACTAAAGTTGTACGAATTTCATATATATTTAAATTTAATATTTTCAGAGCAAAACCTCTGTGTGAGAAAGTCTAATCTTTTACAGTTAGCAAAAATGTCCCATATTTTCTATCTCTGTCTTCCCCTATATTCCAATTACTTAATCTTTAAAAATACCTATTCAGTTACTTGCTTATTTATGCATCAACAAAGACAGTTCAGTTCCTAAAGTATATTTTATTATTTTTTTCATTGAAGATATGCTATTTTTTGGTAATTTAGATAGATCACATTTTTCATAAAAATATAACCATAATAATAAAATGTCAGTAAGGATAAGCAAAATTTAAAAAATATAATGCCAAGACTTGTGCTATACTCTGTTTTCAGAAGGAGACTCTCAAAACATGCTCAAGGCAGCAGGGAGCTGCTTCCATTGATGCTCAGCTTGGTTGATTGGGCCTGATGGTTCAGTACTTAGGCACAGTGATACGGTGCTACTCAAGTTCAGTGATGCAGAACTATAGCTGGTGATTTTCCAGGGGGCCTGTTGTGCAGGGACAAAACTCTAGGTCTGGCACATGTCAGCTTCATACTTCAGTTCTGTGAACTATTTCCTTGACCCTGGTCTTATGCTCTTATCCACACATGTCTTAGAAATTTAATTTATTCTCCATTGCTTTTCTTGGTCATGATGGTGGAGGTGGCTGTTCCAAGGTATGTAGGAGTCTCAGGGAGCTCCTCTCAGTGATTCTTGGACAACTGGGATGGCTGCTCAATGCTAGAGGCTACAGTAACGCCCCAGCAGTGTGTGGGAGCCTCCAGTATCATGCTCAGTGATGTTCAAGATGTCATTTGGTGTCAGAGATGGAACCTGATGATGTGTACACAAGACATATGCCCTTACCCTTGTACCAACTTCTTGTACCTCCCATTTTCTTTAACAGCAAAATTTCAACATTTTTTTTCTGAGATGCTGTTTATTTATTTACTTGGGGGGCACAATATTTTTTCTCCTTGGCTTTTTATTTGGCTCAATTCAAAATTTATTCCAAAAATAAAAATTAAAGGAGCAATCCATATTATTTTTCTCATTGTTTCCAGTATGTTTTCATGTTTATTACTATTTTATGAAGAATATATATATATATTGACTTGAAAGTCAGTATTTTTCTTTCTTTTTTTTAAAATTTTATTGAACCAACGTGAGATAGTTACAAGCTTTCATGTTTGGGTTACAATCACACAATGATCAAACACCCATCTCTCCACCAGTGCACATTCCCCACTACTAATATACCCTGTATCCCCCCCCCCCCCATTTTCACCCTCCCCCTGCCTCCATGACAGACAATATTCCCCCCACTCTCTCTCTACTTTTGGGCATTACGGTTTGTAATACAGACACTGAGAGTTTATTATGTTTGGTTCTTTATCAACTTTCTGCACACATTTCCCATCCCAACCATTTCCTCAAGTCATAATTTTCTTAGTGATCCCTTTTTTATTCCAGCTTCCTTCTCCTCTTTGCTCATGAGGCAGGCTTCCAGCTATGGAGCAATCTACCAGGACACAATATTTTTACCAGAGTGTCAATGTTTCTGTCTTTTTTTCTTTTCTTTCTGGGTCACACCCAGCGATGCACAGGGGTTACTCCTGGCTCTGTACTCAGGAATTACTCCTGGCAGTGCTCAGGGGACCATATGGGATGCTGGTAATAGAAACCGGATTGGCCGTGTTTAAGGCAAATGCCCTACCCATGTGCTATCGCTCCAGCCCCAATGTTTCTGTCTTATGTGTATAATTTTATTGCAACATACCCACCACCAATGTGCTATTATCATTCCCCATCTCTCCCCAGAAGAGGACCACAGAAACCTTCCTGATGAGACTCCCACCACTTCCTCCTGTTCTGCGCCTGGAGTCCAAGGGTTTGTTTTCAGTTTAGCCTATCTATTCCCTTGCTTTGTTTCCTTCTAAAATCATATTTGAGTTAGTTCATTTGGTATATGGCTTTCTCCTAAGCCATATATTTCACTAAGCATGACACTCCCAAATTCTATCCATCTTATAGTAAAACACAAGATTTCTTGTTTTATTTTAACTGAGCAGTGCTTCCGTATTTATGTACAAGACATGTATTTTCTATTCATTCATCTGTCATTGGAGATTTGGAATGTTTTCATTTCTTGATTTTTGTAAATAGCACTGCAATGAACATTGGCATTTATCTCTCTGTTTGAGTAACTGTTTTGAGACTTGGTTCTCATTTTCTAAATAGATTCTTTAGTAAAATTCACTCTATACCACACATAATAGAAAATCACATTGCAAGCCCGTATATCAGAAAGGGAAATATTACAAAAGAAGTATTACTGCTTATCTGATTACATATTTGTATTTTTTAAAAATTTATTTATTGAATCATTGTGAGAACAGTTATGAAGCTTTCAGGTTAAAGTCTTGGTCATACAATGATCAAACACCCATCCCTTCACCAGTGCATATTTTCCACCACCAAAACCCCAATATATTCCCCATACGACCCCTCCCCATGCCTGTGAGGTAGATGATTTCCACTTAACTCTCTACTTGGATTGTATTCATGATTTTGACAAAAGATGCACCATTATTGTCTCGAATTTTCTCCCAACAATCAAACCTGCTGAAAAGGCACCGTGGAATAATTTGTTTTCTATTGCTGGTTATGAAGACCTTATGATGTTTTTATTTTGGATTTCTGATATTTTACTAATTAAGTCTGGAGGGATTTCTGCCAAAAGTCACATAGTTCCGAGATTGGTTTGTATGCCTCTGGGGCCATGGCCATGCTGGCGAGCCGCTCGTGGGAGGGAACTCATGGTCTCGGCAGGGCAAGAAGGATGTGCCGTTTCTGCCCCCCATCCCATGAGGCCACAGTTGCCCTGTTACCGCTGGCTCATACCTGGCTGTCCAATAAGCTCTGAGGCAGCTGCCAACATACATGCCACGGGGGGGGGGGCATGGAGGAAGGCAGAAGAGACAGACACCCTTTCCCTCCCGGGGGAGCACGGCACCATAGCTTAATGCATAGTCCATTCACATCTCTGCCCAAAGCCACTGGGTTCCAAATTAGGTCTGTGTACCTCTGGGGCCATGGTCGTGTGGAAGAGCCGCTTGTGGGGGGCAACTTGTGGTCTCGGCAGGGCAAGAAACACATATTTGTATTTTTAAAAAATGATTTTAAGTGTGAATCTGAGAAAACCTATTTATTTCATAATAAAAAAATAAAAAAAAATAAAAAGAGGTTAAAGAAGTACTGATTTCTAAAATATGCCAGAAATCTCTAAATAAACACCATCATGACCACAAAGTCACCTTTCTAAGGAACCAGAAACTGTTCATACTTTCTCTGATGATTTGATGTGATCAATTAAATTTGTAGGATAAAAGGAGATAGAAAAAAATGTTAATAATGCCTTAAGAAATATCAGAGAGGAAATGTAAAATGAGAACATAATTTATGTGGCTTTAAAGCAAACTAATTAAAAAACCAGAAAGAGTATGAATGTTACCACTTTGTGAAAAAGGACAAAATTTTAAAGTAAGTCTTAAATGAAAGACTTAGGCAAGAAAAAAAAAAGTTCTGGATGCCTGGGAGATACTTGGAGGGCTACAGTGCCTGGCCCACATGTGGAGTCCTGTGGGTTGTTTCCTGACTCTCGAAGCTTGCTACAAGTGGAAGTGTAGAGGGAAGGCAGTTAGGATAGAGAAGTGACCACTCTGACAATGGTAATTGGAAATGATCACTCTAGACGAGGTCTGAGAGCTGAGAGAATGTAAAGAGATAAACATGGCTCAGATGAAATGAACTTGGACTTCCTGTGACATGGTATTTAAAAAGGCACTCTGACATGTTACAAGATAGTATTATTTTTATTTCATATAAAAACATTTCTTAAAAATCAGTTCAACTTCTTGCAACAATAAGGTTGCAACAATGTCACTGTCACTGTCCTCCTGTTGTTCATCGATTTGCTCCAGCAGGCCCAGTAATATTGTGAGACTTGTTACTGTGTTTGGCATATTGAATTCCTCATGGGGAGCTTGCTAGGCTTTGCTGTGCAGGCGAGATACTCTCGGTAGCTTGCTGGGCTCTCCGAGAGGGGCGGAGGAATGGTACTTGGGTCGGCCATGTTGGCAGAGTGCAAGGCAAATACCTACCGGCTGTGCTATAGCTCCAGCCCATGGTTGCAACAATAGTTATCTATAAACATTTATTTTTCACTTCAAGTTTGGTTAATATCCTTTACAGAAAAATGGTATGATGGTTCCTTTCACCTCAATAATACACACACACACACACACACACACACACACACACACACACTGCTATACACATCCTTAAAACAAATCCTAACCAAAACAATTTCTCCACACTTTGAAAATCACTAGTTTGAGATCTTTAGTTAATATCTTTGAGAAATTCATCACATATTTTACAGGAAAAGTACTATAAGCTTTTAGTATATATATATGCATACGTAATTATATATAAAATATATAATATGGAAACAATATATTAAAACACATTTGTTTATGTAATATGTTAAATATATAAAATATATACATATATTTATAAATACATATATATAAATATTCAGTACATGAAACAAAGTAGAAAACATAGTGAAACCAGCACATACCTTGTTTTTGAGGTGCTGCTCTTAGGTCAGGTTCCTCTCCTAAGTTTCCTTATAATGTGAAGCTCATATATAATCAGGTAAAATCGGGTGATGCCCTGAGCAGAGAGAACAAATATTTTAACATACCATTTAATGTTTAATATAAAGTATTAATATAAGTATTATTTTAATCACAGGATCACAGTCCTCCCATTGTTCATTGATTTTCTCGAGCGGGCCCAGTAACGTCTCCATCATGAGACTTGTTGTTACTGTGTTTGGCATATCGAAAACGTAATGGGGAGCTTGCCAGGCTCTGCTGTGCAGGTGAAATACTCTCAGTAGCTTGCCGGGCTCTCCAAGAGGGGCGGAGGAATCGAACTTGGGTTGGCCATGTTGGCCGCTTGTAAGGCAAATGGCCTACCGCTGTGCTATCGCTCAGCCCAATTTATTATTAATAATTAATAATAATAATTAATCTCACAATTATTTTAATAAATAAAATCAAATCAATTGCCTTGAAAAGTTTCCTTCCAATAAGGCTCTGAATCCAAGCTAAAAGAAATGTTCTGTTTAGGACTGGTCCATGAATGGAAGCTCGCTACAAGTGGAAGTATAGAGGGAAGGCAGTTAAGACAGAGAAGTGACTATTATGACAATGATAGCTGGAAATGATCACTCTGGAAGAGATCTGAGAGCTGAGAGAAGCTAAACAGATAAATATGATAACCTGTCAGTATCTGTACTGCAAACCTGCCCAGAAGGAAAGAAAGAAAGAAAGAAGAAGGAGTTGGGAGAGTGAAGGGAGAAAAACTGCAGACATTGGTGGTGGGAAACATACACTGGTAAAAAGGATGGGTATTTGGACATTTTATGACTGAGACTAGATCATTAACAACTTTGTAACTGTGTATCTCATAGTGATCCAATTTAAAAAAAAGAAAAAAATTTTTCACTTGAGATTTTCATTTAGAATGTCCAGTAAGAAACAGTGAAAATTATTTAATACTTTTTCAAGACACTAGATTACTGATTTATCAAAGATATTAAAATTATTTTCTTCTCAATAAAGAGAAAATGTCAGATTTAAGAAAGTAAGGATAGCAAATTTAATTATTTTTTTTATTACACATCTAAAAATCACTAAGTCTTGGCAAGAATGTGAGGCATATAAAACTCTTTTACTATTAATGATTAATATCAACTTCTTGGTAAACTATCAGTCTCAAGACATATGAACAATTGGAATTTGTATATGTCAGAACTAAAAACCATAAATGGAAATATTCATAACTTTATCATAGCACTGCACCAGTTTGGAAATAATCCAACCAACCAGCAAAATTAGAAAAGATAAAATATGTATTTTCTCAAGCAAATGGATTATACATAATACTAATACATCAGTATCTTCTACCTGTGAACAATATGGTTGATTTTTCTGAAGTTTAGTTTTTGGTGAAAGAATCCAGTTACATAGAAAATTCTTGTATAACTGTGATACATTTGTATGAGGTTCTAAGACAGGAAAACTTATTGGTAATAGAACCAGTATAATTATTACCTTTACAGGAGAAGGCTTATAGTGACTGAAAGATAATGTAAGCTGTTTGCCAGTGCAACTTATAATACTCTATTTCCTTATGGGTACTCTGATGATTACCATGTCATGATGGATGCTTACCATGGCATGTTTACTTTGAAAAAAATTCAGCGTATTCTTGTCATTATTGATTTTCTCACTATAAATATTGTTTTTTAAAAAATATTGTTTTTTAATGAAAATATCTTCCTAAAGTATTATATAGCATGAGATAATTTATTAGGTCTGAAGAATTAGAGTCATTATTTGTGACGAAGTTGCAAGCTAAAAGTTCTATTGGAATATAATACATGAACACAACAATATCAGGTCATCAACATGTTGAAAAATAAATATCAAGCATCTGGTAAAGTTAGAAATCCCAGACTAACACTTAGACTTCATAACCCTCAGAGGAGAAAATAATTATATTTTATAGATCAAGGAAAATTAAAACTTTGAAGATACCTCACAGTGTACTAAAGCAGACAGATACTGGAAATAAAAATGTTGATGGTTAGGGACCTACTAAAGTGAACTTTCAATATAGATAAATTTTCAACTGACAAGTAGAACAGCTAAATATGGTAGAAAATCCACAATGCTATTGGTTTGAAAAGTTTGGGGATAGAATTTGGATCAACTACTATTAATATCCTACAAGAGTATAGAAATTAAAAAAATGTTTAAGAGAGGGTAGAATCTTATATTTTATAGATAAAACCCTAAGTAGCCTTTGAGATGAATAATGTATACTTGGGGAATATTCTTTGGCAGCACAACAAAAATTAAAGAATGAAATTGATATTTGGGCTGCTGTTATTGCAAGGAAGATAGTCTGTAGTTTGAACTGGCTATGAGAAGCTGAATAATGACCTCCCAGAGATAGCTTTGTCACAGTCTTTGAAAACCCGAAATTTAAGTTATATGCCAAAGTGGGTGTCTAGGAAGTAGGTAGGTTGCTAGTTACTGATCTTGAGAAAATTTCTGGATTTTATAGATGGGTCCAATGTAACAATAGACTCCAAAAGTGTTCAGGAGGGAAGCAGAAATGTCAGCTTCAAATTCATACAACTCAAGAAAGACTAGAATAGCCATTACTGGCTTTGAACAAGGGAAGTGGCCCTGAGTCAAAAAATTTTGGTAGTTTCGGGGCAATAGGTAGAGAACAAAAAACATTCTGCTTTGAAAGATTTCCAGAAAAGAATGTAATCTTGCTAACATCTTTGTTTTAGCACTCTGTTTTAGCATTTCTGATTCTGATGTGTAGGATAACATTGGTTTGTCCTTTCTCCCTTGCCACAGGGAGCTTAGGTTTATGGGGTTACACCCATCACAGTGCTCCCGAGTCATTCCCATTCCTCTGTGTTTATCTGTAAACTCTTCTCTGTGCTCTCCTCCCCAACCCATTAATCAAGTTTTCCACCTAATAAGATTTTGTTAGGGCTGGAGCGATAGCACAGCTGTAGGGCATTTGCCTTACAAGCGGCCAACATGGCCGACCCGAGTTCGATTCCTCCGCCCCTCTCGGAGAGCCCGGCAAGCTACCGAGAGTATTCAATATGCCAGACACAGTAACAACAAAGTCTCCAATGGAGACGTTACTGGGCCCGCTCGAGCAAATCGACGATCAACGGGAGGGCCTTTACTTTTTTACTTTTTACTTAAGATTTTGTTAGCTTGTAAGATCAGATCCTTCTAAGGACACTGAACTTGTAAGTTATGTCTTTTACATAGTTTACCTTAAAGCAATGTCCTTTCTGTATGGACACAGAAAGACAGTTAATATTACGCTTTTGTAATTTGGGAGTTGATTGACTCCAGATAATATTTACTCCTGGGCATGTGCTTTCTTGACTCAGTTGCCCTTAGTTCCTAGCACCCCAAAAGCAGGGGCCCAACGAGGGACTGAATTGACCCAAGGCAAGCTGTGAGCTACCCTGGCATCGAAATGGACCAGGCCAAAGCGCCACAATACTCAACTATGAGTTGAGGGCATGATCATGTACAAATGCTGTCATGATCCAAAAGTAACAAGAAGACCAGGAGCCTGCTGGAGTTAGGAAGACTAACCTGGTATGAGGACTGTGGAATAGATAGTGAGATGTCCTTAGGAAGAACCAAACTGTAAATTTATATCTCTTACTGTGCTCATACAGAATGACATTGCTAGAAACATTAGAAGTAGATTTACTACAACTATTTAAGTGGATTACTAGCTGAAGAAAGAGCACACCTTTGTTGGGATCCCTCCCTTGAGCGGATCTCCTAGTAATCTGGAGTAATCTCTTTAAATGAGATTTTATACTTGAGTTAAACTCTGGAGGAGTGGTCTTGCCTCTCTTTGTTGAATGTTCAACTCACCTTTGTGTCACCAACCTACGTGATTGCTATATAAACTAAGACTGTAAGATCGAAGGGGGCTTGGGCTCCAGAGAGAGAAGCAGAAAGAGAGTGGAGATTGGAATAAACTACAATTGATACCAACCAGCCTGGCCCTCGTTTCCTTCCTTCACCTGCCCATTGCCATCAACCTCCCCGTGGTCGGGGAAGAGGCCTGAGACCACCGAATGCATGCGGCAAGAGAGATAGAGCGCTGCCGACCTTTTGAAAACACACACTGATGCTGAGAACTGTAAAATAAGTTCACTGTAAAATTGTTTAACCCACCTGATGCTGAGAACTGTAAAATAAGAACTGTAAAATTGTTTAACCCACCAGATTTGTGTAATCTATTACAAAAAACAGGAATCTAATACAGATAATCTTGGTAATGGAAATGGAATGCTATTGTAACAAATACCTTAAATATGGAAGAGACCTTGGGATTGAGCACAGAATTGAGAAAAATTGTGAGGAACATTATAGGGGAGTTCTAGATTACTTTATGCATATTTTTATTAAAAAGTAATGTTAATGTTCTTGCAGGAGAGGTCATAGAAGGAACTAGAAAATGTATTATTAGGACCTGGAAGAAAGGGGAGTATAATAACAGATAACTTAACCAACTTGTGATTTCAGTTATTTGGAAAATAACAGTTAAAACTAATGAACTCATGTAATGCTGAAATTTCCAAGCAAAACTGAAACTTGTTCTGGTTTCTTTTTTCTTTTAGAGTAAAACAGGAGAGAAGAATACAATGGTAGAAAAAAGAATATGATGTGATGACAAGGGGCAGGCTTAGTCTTTCTTGTTACAACAGACAATAAAATGAAGAGTCACCATTGAGGAAGGGGACAAACATCCCAAATAACCAAGAATTTGATTGAACAACCTTGTGTTAATATTTCTGGAAGGTAGAAAGGTCACAAAACTCATTCACATAGAAGTCTCTTAGAAAAGATTAAGTGTGTGGCTCAGATTTCCTCAGCAACCTCAGGAAAACTAAAATAAGGTAGTGAAAAAAATGTCACCTTAGGTATGGAAAATAATATTTTTATTGCATACTTTTAATCTAAGACAATTAAAAAGGAAAG